TTGACGCCTAATCATGATCACCCCTTTCTCTTACCTTGACAATGACATATTTGTTGCCAAACCAATTTTTGCTTAAGAGTCACCCTTGTACACTCTAATGAAAGGGTCTGCCTGATCTCTTTGGTTTAACTGGTGGCTTTCCATGACCACACTCTACTAATCTTATTAGCTTGACTTGTGGCTCTTCGTTGTCACACCATTATCGCCTTCATCAAAAGCTTGAGAAGTTCACTCCTCTTGGTTCATCCGAATAGCACCAAGCCTCAACACACCATTAGAGTCCTCAACGTGCTGATTGCTACCATTATTCTTATCATTGGACTCCTTATAAGTCTCCACAATGGCTACAAGCTTCTTTTATTATGGTCTATCCCTAGGTATATGTGACCCTGAACACAAGAAGCGGCTAAAGGTAATAGCCTTCTTACCTTTGTCCTTATCAAGCTCTTCGACCCTTGCATTGTGATGTCGTGGCTTTTCCTCAACCTCATCCTCTAATGAAGAGCAGTTACTCTTGTCTCCCCCACTTAAGCTGCTGCCCCTAGGCTTAAGAAACTTGGTATATTGATACTTAACCAACGATTTGACAACTGTAATTGCTTGACTCAAGTTTTGGACCTTACGCTACTTTAGCTCGATACTTGCCCATGACTTTAACCAGTCAAAGAAGTATAACAAGGCTTCTTGCTTGGCTATGCTGGGAACTATAAGTGATAGTTCCAAGAACTCTCAATAATAGTCTCACACTCTTCTTTTTTTGAGTGAATTGGTGAAGCTTTACCTGAGCTTTTTCTTTTGCATACTCTAACTTAAACTATCTTATTAGTTCGCTCATAAACTGATCCTATATGGTGATTGCAGTGTACCCATAATGCATGCTATTGTACCTTCGATGCCATCATAACAAGGCCACATTAGTTAAGTACATGATAGCATGCTTACCATGGCTTCCTTCACTGTACTAACCACTATGAAGTATACCCCATACCCCACATGAAGTTGTCAACTTCTTTAGTTGAGCGACTTCTAACAAATGGCTTTGGCTTAGGACTTTCACCCTAGGTCTTAAACTTTATTTGCAACTATGCAACCCAAAATACAACAAATTCTTGCTTGAGTTGCTCTAGTTCTTCTTATAAGGCTACCACCTGAGCTTTTAGAGCTTCATTTTGTTGTGTAAGCACTTCTATCTCTTGAGTCAAGACATAATGCATTTCTTTTTTAAGCTTTTCCTATGCCAAGTCCAGCTGTTGGATGCAATCCTCAGTGTCTTTAAATTGATCCCTCAAATCTTTCATGGCTAACTTTTATTTTGCCAATCGAGAAGCCATGGATGATAATAGATCCTTCAAACCAGTCTTTTTCTCTTTGCTTATAGGTGGGTTGCCCTCTTGCACTTCACTTATGCACTCCACTTGAAAGTTACTAGCCATGCTTTTTCATGTGCATCATAATTACAAAGCTTGGACTAAGAACTTCCCATAATTTACTTAGGAGCACCCACACATATTTATGCCCCACTCTTGGCATTGACAACCAGCAATCGCCCACACAATACTTCCCATTGCAAGTTTACAGCACAACTGACACACTAACACACAAGCTACTCATGCACTCAAACTGACACCAACACTGATCGTAACCAAGGTTTGAAACTTACTCTGATACCAACTCTAGTTAGAAATAGCACTGATACCAACTATCATGGGCTAGGAGCTTAAGCCTAGCTACCATGCAACCTTAGGTGGGAAACTACCATTTGTATTCCTAACTTAGTCTTTAAACCGACTAGGTGCCATACACTAATCGATTATGCCATTCACTTATGCTGGAACTCAACTAACCTCCTACGAGTTTAGGAAAAAGCTAGAAAGGAAATGGTTAAGGCAATAGTAGTTTATTTACTTGATAGGGATGTACACTTACTCTTGGAACACAGCCCCTTATGTGTTTTCTACAAAGGCTCTCAAAGCCTATGTCGCTAATGCTTACATTCCTGCTTCTCTATGTTCATTTGGTTATGGCTTATGTATAAATGAGGGGAAGGTTCTTTTATTTATAATTGAGCCCCTTTGGTACTAATGGTTATAATAAATCTAAGTGTATGGCTATTAAAGGCCTTCTAGATAGTTTTAAGGTTTCTAAGCTTTAACAAAGTTAGCTAACGCCTTTCTAGAGATACATCAATTTTAGGCTCCATGCTTGATTCATCGAATTGTTGACATGCCATCATCTTCAATCTCCCTCATGTGGTCAGCGTACCTTGGAGGCACAATCGGGATCTTATGCTACATACCTAAATCAATTGAAACTGGATGTCTTAGCATCCCTTATCCGTCTTGTGTCCTTAGGGGCTATGGGTTGACCTCAATCATGCCTCATGTCCCAAGTATGCCACCCAAACCTGTGTGGCCACATTGGTGCAATAGTGTTCGATCAAGCTCTTAGATACGAAATGTTTTATGGGCACAGGATTTTACATGCTCAACATGCATAACACTTGTGCTTCATGTTGGCTCTCTTTGTTGCTCTATCAGTGTATTTAGGTCCATGAGGTGCTAACATCCTAAAGGAATGCTATGTGGTTGATCCTACCAGTGTCAAAAGCTTGTCTCAAAGATTAAGCCATGCATGTGTAAGTATTTGCTAATTCAAACTATGAAACTACAAATGGCTCATTAAATCAATTATAGTTTGTTTGATGGTATCTACTACTCAAATGACCATAGTAATTCTAGAGCTAATACGTGTAACAAACCTTAACTTCTAGAAAGGATGCATTTATTAGATAAAAGGGTGACACGAGCTTTGACCATTGCTCTAATGATTCATAATAACTCAATAAATTATGCGGCCTTTATGCCGGTAATGCATCATTCAAATTTTTACCTTATCAACTTTCGATGGTAGGATAGTGGCCTACCATGGTGGTGACGGGTAGCAGAGAATTAGGGTTCAATCCGAAGAAGGACCCTAAGAAACAGCTAGCAAATCCAAAGAAGGTAGCAAGTGTGCAAATTACCCAATCCTGACATAGGGTGGTAGTCACAATAAATAATAATATCGGGCTCCATGAGTTCGGTAATTGAAATAAGTACAATCTAAATCCCTTAATAAGCATCCATTGGAGGGCAAGTCTAGTGCCAGTAGCTATGGTAATACCAGTTGTTGCAGTTAAAAATCTCATGGTCAAAATTAGGGTTAGGTCATCTGGCCTACCCACAGTGAGCATCGATCTACTCATCCCTTTGATAGAGATGTACTCATAGCCTTAACTGGTCAGGTCATTCCTCTAGTGCTGTTATTTTGAAAAAAATAGAGTCCTCAAAGTAGGCCTATACTTGTATACGTTAGCATAAGATAACATTATAGTATTTCTATCTATGGTGGCCTTTGAGATCAAAGTAATAATTAAAAAGGATAGTCGGGGGCATTCATATTTCATAGTCAGAGATGAAATTTTTAGATTTATGAAAGATGAACAATTGTGAAAGCATTTATCAAGGATGTTTTCATTAATCAAAAATGAAAGTTACGAGCTTGAAGATGATTAGATATCATCCTAGTCTTAACCATAAATGATGTTGACCAAGGACCGATGGATGTTACTTTCAAGACTCCGTCGACACCTTATGAGAAATCAAAGTCTTTGGGTTCTGGGAAGAGTATGGTTACAAGGCTAAAACTTAAAGGAATTGATGGAAGGGCACCACCATGAGTGCAACCTATGGCTTAATTTGAATCAATACAGGGAAACTTACCAGGTTTAGACATAGTAAAGATTGATAGACTGAGAGCACTTTCTTGATTCTATGGGAGGTGGTGCATGGTAGTTCTTAGTTAGTGGATTGATTTATCTAGTTAAATCAATTAATGAACAAGACCTCAGCTTGCTAACTAGCTATATGGAGGTGATCCTTTGTGGCTAGCTTCTTAAAGGGACTATGGCTACTTAAGCTAAGGAAGTTCAAGGCAATAACAGGTTTATGATACCCTTAGATGTTCTGGGTTGCAAGTGTGCTACATTGATGTATTCAATGAGTCTATAGCCTTGGTTGATAGGTTCGGGTAATCTTTGAAATTTCATCATGCTGGGGATAGTAAATGCAAGTCATCAGCTCATGTTGACTACATCCTTGCCCTTTTTACACACCGCCCATCCTACTGATTGAATGTCTAGTGAAGTGTTTGGATCATGGTGACGTGGATGGTTTGCTACCTACGACATCATGGGAAGTCCACTGAACTTTATCATTTAGAAGAGAGAGAGGTTGTAACCATGTTTATGTAGGTGAACCTAGGGAAGGATCATTGTTGAAACTTGCTTAACGAATGACCCACAAATGTGTTAATGAAACACTAATAGAGCAAGCATGCCTTCATGCCCTGAGCCTCTTCTAGACTTGGGCTTGTGAGATGGTCAATTTGTTTTGCCTCTTGAGTGGGCAAAATGATTGGTATCATCGTTTGTGGCCAAATAATGAGCCCTCGATTCATATCACGCTAAGGAACTAGAATGAAAAAGAGCGCATGTGATGTTGCAATCCCTTTCGCAGTGTGTTTGCAAGTGGCACAGTGACTCTTTTTGTCATAAAAAACCAAAATGACTCTCAGCAATAGATATCTTAGGTTTCACATTGATGAAGAACATAGCAAAATGTTGTACTTGGTGAGAATTGCAAAATCCCATGTGTAGAAAAATTCTTGTATTTTTGTTAGCATCCACAAAAACATTCAACTAAAAAATCAGTGTAGAAGATTTTGTGGCCATTTGAAAAAAGTGTCCCCATTTTAGACACTTGAATGGCTACTGACTGTGAACCATAAAAGCTTTGATGCTCATTAAGGGGTTGTGAGTTATTGAGGTTCATTGGGGGATAAAGGGCCAATATAAGGGCCAAGGACCAGCACTTATCACATATCATGTGCGCACACCCCCTGGCCCCCCACCTCTAATCGTCGAAAGCTTCATTGCTGTTGTTCAATTTTTTGATGATGCTATGGCAATTAGAGTATTGATTAATAGGGATAGTCAAGGACATTCTTATTTCATAGTCAAATGTGAAATTCTTGGATTTATGAAAGATGAACAACTGTAAAAGCATTTGCCAAGGATGTTTTCATTAATCAAGAATGAAAGTTGATGGCTCAAAGATGATTAGATATTGTCTTAGTCTTAACCATAAATGATGCTAAACAAGGGTCAATGGATGCTACATTTAGGACTCCTCTGACAGCTTATAAGAAATTAAAGTCCTTGGGTTTCAGGTGGAGTATGGTCATAAGGCTGAAACTTAAAGGAATTGATGAAAGGGCACCACTAGTAGTGGAGCCTATGGCTTAATTTGACTCAGCACATGGAAACTTACCAAGTCTAGACATACTAAGGATTGATAGATTAAGAGCTTTTTTTTTATTCTATGGTAGTATTGCATGGCCATTCTTAGTTAGTGGAGCGATTTGTTTGTTTAATTCAATTAACGAACGAGACCTTAGCCTACTAACTAGCTATGTGAAGGTGAACCTTTGTGGCTAGCTTCTTAGAATGACTATGGCCTTTTAGGCTAAGGAAGTTTGAGGCAATAACAAGTCTATGATACCCTTAGATATTTTGGGCCCGCACGCACAATACACTAATGTATTCAATGTCTCTATAGACTTGGCTAATAAGGCTAGGTAATTTTTGAAATTTCATCATAATAAAGATAGATCATTGCCATTATTGGTCTTCAATAAGGAATTCCTAGTAAGCGTGAGTCATCAGCTTGCATTAACTACATCCCTACCCTTTGTACACATCACATACCACTCCTACCAATTGAATGGTCCATGAAATGTTCAAATTATGGCAACGTGGATGGTTTGTTGCCTATGTCATCATGAGAAGTCCACTAAACTTTATCATTTAGAGGAAGGAGAAGTCATAACAAGGTTTTCATAGGTGAACTTGTGGAAAGATCATTGTTGAAACTTGCTTAATGAATGACATGAATATCTTAACAAAACATCGATGGGGCAAGGTAGCCTTTGTGCCCCAAGGCTCTTTCAGTTATGGGTGTGCACGATGGTCACTTTGTTTTACCTGTCGAGTGAGCAAAACAATTAGTCTCATCACTTCTGGTCGAATAACGAATCCCCAGCATGAATCGCACCAAGGGATCAAAATGAAAAAGAGCGTGTCTGCCATTATCATTAGTTCCTATTGCATGCATGGGTGGCACCGTGACTCATTTTGTCATGAAAAACTAAAACAACTCTCAACAATGGATATCTCAACTCTCGCATCAATGAAGAACATAGTGAAATATGATACTTGGTGTGAAATACAGAATCCCATGAGCCATCGAGTCTTTGAATGCAAGTTTCACCCCAAGCCATTAGGCCAAGGGCCTGATTGCCTGGGTGTCATGCATCATCACCCCCTCTAACCCCTCACCCATTGAGTTTCAGGTAAGGGGGAAAAAGATGGCCTTTTATGATCTCATCGATTGTTATTGGCCCAAAAGTGAGTCCCCGATAATGATAGTGCTGTGATCGTTGCTGGTAAAGCTCCCAGCATGCATTGTCTCTAATGAGGTATCAAAGAGCAGTGAAAGTCCCGTTATGCCTAGACCCTATCACACCATGAGGCACTATCTGTGAGTCGAGTTGTTTAGGAATGTAGCTCTAATCAGGTAGTAAATTCTATCCAAGGCTAAATATAAGGAAAAGACCAATAACGAACAAGTATCGTAAGGGAAAGATGAAAAGGACTTTAAAAAAAGAGTCAAAAAGTGCATGAAATTATTGGTAGAAAAGTAGATGGGGGCTAGGGATGCACCTCAGTTGGATGTGGAATGGTAAGAGCTGGTCCACCAATCAACTTGGGGTATGGATCGATGCATATCATGGCAATGGCCTAAGCTCAAACTTTTTATATGCTTACAGAGATGTTGTCGCCACTATCATGGAATGCAACACATGCCATCTAGATGTGTGTCAGCCCACATGTGCTTCTGGGGTCAACCTACAAGCTCCCCATCTAGCCAATCTTGAAACATGAACCAAGGAGTCTGACATGTGTGCAAGTCAATGAGCTAGAAAACCCATAAGGCATAAGGAAACTAATTGGCAAGATCCCTTGTAAGTGCACTACCGACCAAACTTGATCTTTTGAATTGCACCCTGAGTGAGGCAAAGGCAGAGGAAACTCTGGTGGAGGCCTGCAGCAATACTAACATGCAAATCATTCGTCTGACTTGGGTATAGGGTGAAAAACTAATTGAAATGTCTAGTAGCTAGCTCCCTCTAAAGTTTCTCATATGATAGCTGGAGCCCTTAGCAAGTTCTATCAAGTAAAGCCAATGATTAGAGGCATCGTAAGTGCAACAACCTTGACCTATTCTTAAACTTAAAATAGGTAAGAAGGTGAGGCTACTTCATGAAGCTGCTCTATGGAATCGTGAGCTCCTAGTGGGCCATTTTGTTAAATAGAACTAGTGATGTAGGATGAACTAGAAGCTAGATTACGATGCCTAACTGCATGCTAACCTAGAACCCACAATGGGTGTCGGTCAATTAAGATAATAGGATAGTGGTAATAAAAGTAAAAATCCACTAAGGAGTGTATAACAACTCACTTACCAAATCAACTAGCTCTAAAAATGGATGGTGCTTAAGCACACGACCTATATATGGCTGTTAGGGCAAGGGCCAGGCCCTAATGAATAGCAAGGTGTAAAGGCAGTGCAAAACCCAAAGCATGACTAGAGCGACCGTCAGTATATATCTTGGTGGTAGTAGCAAATATTCAAATAAGAAATTTGAAGGCTGAAGAAGGGAAAAGTTCCATGTGAATGGCACTTGCACATGGGTTAGTCGATCCTAAAAGATAGGGAAAGGTCATCCAATAGCACATCCAGCATAAGCTTCAAAAAGGAATCAAGCTAAAATTCCTAAACCAAGATGCGGTGACTAATGGCAATGTTAAGGAGTTTGAAGATGTTGGTAGAGACCTCGGAAAGAGTTATCTTTTTTATTTAATGGCTTGCCTACCCTAAAAATGGCTCAACCAAAGTAGGGTCAACAACCAAAAGAGCATTACACATTGCATGGTGTATAATGAGCCCCTGCCGGCCTTTGAAAATCTAGAGAACCAACTACGATCCATGCCCAATCATACTCATAATCGTATCAGGTCTCTAAGGTGAACAACCTATGGTCAATGAACCAATATAGGTAAAGGATGTCGGTAAAATGGATTTGTAACCTTGGGAAAAATGTTGGCTCTAAAGGCTAGGCATGGGGGGTCACAATCCTGAACCCATCGGCTACTAGTGCACTACTTGAGCTACTATTACAATGAGAATAGGTCATCACATGCCAACTAGAGGATAGACTTGGAATGGCTCCCTTGGGGGGTCTTTCCTAGATGATGAATAGTCGACTCAGAACTGTTATGAATAAGGGGAATCCAACTATTTAATTAAAACAAAGCATTGCAATGGTCCCTATGGATGCTCACTCAATGTGATTTTTGCCCAGTGCTTTGAATGTCAAAGTGAAGAAATTCAACCAAGTGTAGGTAAATAGCGTGAGTAACTATGACTCTCTTAGGGTAACCAAATGCCTCGTCATCTAATTAGTGACGTGCATAAATGGATTAATGAGATTCCCACTATCCCTATTTATTATCTAACAAAACAATAACTAAGGGGGTGAGCTTGGCAAAGTCCAACTTTGTGAAATGACTTGAGAGGTATAGGATAAGTGGGAGCCCTTGGGCAAAATTGAAATATCATAACTTTTAACAATATTTTACTTATTCGATGAATCAGAGGTGGGACATGCCTTTTCTTTTGGAACCAAAATTGCCCTTGGTTGATCAATCCAAGCAGACGACCTTGTTAGGTGAGGAGTTTGGCTAAGGTAGCATATTTGTTAAAAGATAATGCAGGTGTCCTAAGATGAGCTCAACAATAATAGAAATCTTGTATGGAACAAAAAAGTAAAAGGTTATTTGATTATATTTTTCAGTACAAATACGAATCATAAAAGTGTGGCCTATCGATCCTTTAGATCTTTAAAATTTGAAGCTAGAGGTGTTAGAAAAGTTACCAGAGGGACAATTGGCTTATGATAACCAAGCATTCATAGCGACATTGCTTTTTGATTCTTTGATGTTGGCTCTTCCTATCATTGTGAAGCAAAATTCACCAAGTGTTAGATTGCTCACTCACACCACTAGGAAACATGAGCTAGGTTTAGACTACCATGATATAGGTTAGTTTTACCCTATTTATGGTAGCGTTACACCTAGTATGAGAGGAACCATTGATTCGCATAATTGGTCATCATGTTTGCTTGAAAAGCTAGTAGTCTAAAGCTACCATGCACTAGATTATGACTAAACACCTCTAAGTTAGAATCTAGGCTAGAAACAATGCACACACCTATCGCCCAATTGCCAACCTTAGTAGGGGCCCATGGCCCTCAATGGCACATGTTGTAGGTGTAGCCCTTATGGTGGACAAGCCATATGGGCCTCCTTAAGGCTCATTCCCATGGAGTGGTGGGTAAAATCCTTTACAGATGGCTTAAATATGTGACAAGGTATTGTAAGTGGTAAAGTGGCCTTGCTACCATGATCTACTAAGATTCAACCCTTCGTCGCTTCGATTCATCCGTCCCTCACTTCACACCCACCAAAGTCCACTCACTTCATTTTTTACACTACATACCTCTGGGTTGGGGATGAATGGTGTTCCCTATTACAATCAATTTGGCTGGGTGATGACATCTCTCCCTTAGGAGTCCAAGTAAACAACAACCAAATGCCCTTGGTATTTGTTATAGGGAATAGCTTGCCTTTGGTACAGGCACTTGCCTCAAACTCCATCAGCACACACTGGCCCTTAATGCAAGTTGTTACCTCAAACACCATCGACAACATGTGGCCCTTGGTTGGTACATGCAATCACATCAAACATAATCGACAGATGCTAGCCCATTGTTGCCTTGGACACCATATATAGATGCTAGGCCATGGTGTGGGATGTTGACTCAAACACCATCGCCAGATGCTGGCACTTTATGTGAGCACTTACCTTAAACCATCGTCAGTGCAAATGGGCCCTTGGTGTAGGTTGTTGCCTTGACACCTCTTTGGTAGATGTTGGCACTTGGTACGCATGTGTATCGTGACCCTTCCACCTAAGGCAACTTGTTTGCCCCTCGATCACCATCAGCCACCAAATGCGTGCTTGGTGCATATGTCCACAGGCGATCTTAAGCCAAACCATGTGACCTTGGATAGGGAATTGACTCCATTTGCTAGAGGTGTAAATGATACATTAGTACTCACCAGCTATTTGGGTCCAACTCAAACAAAATTCAAATTTGGCTTGGTTATTATCGAGTCAAGCTCAAACTTGAATAGCTAGACTTATTAATCGAGCCAAGTTCGATCATTCTTAATCCTAACTTGAGTAGCTCATGAGCCTAATTTGACCTTTTATATTTTAATATATTTTAATTATTTTAATTAATAAAATATCTTGAACTCGAGTTCGAGCTCAAGCACAGCTAATTGAGCTTTTGTTAAATAAAAGAATCAAGCCTAATCGAGTAAGCTCAAGTAGCTTAAATTCTATCTTAAGTCAAAATTAAGCTAAAAAATATAACTGAATCGAGTTTGAGCTTCAAATTTTGAGTCAAGTTTTGAGTTTTGAATTTCGAGTCAAGCTTAAGCTCAAGCTTAATGCTATATTGGCTTAAACTCGATCGATTACATCTTATTGTCTACCTAAGTCAGCATACTAAACTCAAGTGCTTAGCATAATTCTAGCTTGTCAAAGATTATGCTGTAGTGCTGGGCCTTCTAGAAGCCCACAAATATTGATCCTCCCAGGACTATGTTTTAGGTGTGTTTGCACCTTGGTCTAACCATACACCTGTACCTAGGTCTGACTATGTGTCTGTGCATCACTCACCAGCTCTTACACCTTGGCTTGGCTCAATTCTATTAAACTTTAATACTATGCCTGAGCCTCTAGAATCTTGATCACTGCCCATACCACTATTTTGGGCTAGTTCCCAATGACCTGGGCCTCCAATAGGCCTTAAGGCTTGGTCCCCATAGATGTTAGACCCTATCCCACTAGAACTAGAATTATTTCTAGACTCGAAGAGAACCCCTAAGGCCTTGACCACCTTCAGGACATGTGGGGTAGTGGACTTGGCACATACTAGCCCTTTATAGGGCAGTTACCTCGAACAGCATCGGCACATGCTAGGCTATACACCATATACAGGTATCCTGGGCCTAGGCCATGCACCATGCACCATGCACACTAAGATCGGGTAGTAGGTGAGCTCAGGCACATCTTTATATTTCTACAGTGCCAATGCCATTTTTATGGCTTGTAAATTCATATAAGCGCTCACCAAT